GATCTCCACCAAAGATAATCTCTAAGCTGCGATAAAGAAGCCTTGAGGATATGTCATGATCTCCACAAGAATGATCTCTTATCTACTATAAAATGGCTCTAATCTGGGAGAGGAAGATGACATGCTCCATCAGAGACTTACAGAAGACGAACCGACTACCGGAGATTATTATTTTCTCTGATTCTCCATTCCCCCTCTCAAAGCTTGTATCTCCATTCTCCATACCTTTGAATCAATAAAATACCCAGCGACTGAAGCCATTGAAGAGTGGACGTAGGTCGAATTGACCGAACCACTATAAATTGTGTCTTCTCTAATTTTTTCGTTGATTTCATTGCATTTATTATCTATACTTGACGGGTGGTGTGCAAAACCATTTTTGTGCATCATCAGTAATGATATATATACTTAAAAATTATATTTAGAAAATAAATTTGATAATCAAAATTGACGAACTCAAATCTAATTGGGTCAGGTCCAGTAAATCAAGCAAGTCCAGATCCACTAGGAAGGTAGTCCAAGTCCAGTTCATCAATTCGGCCCAATCCAAGATCCAATGAGCCCGGAAAAATAAGAGCACGTGGGAGAGAGATTATCGAGATATACACTCACGAAAATCAATCCTACCTTAATTGTACTTACCATTTGTAATTATCCTCCCCGAATTAGTTGTACCCTCACACTCACGTCACCCACCTCACCATGCCTATAAATTGTGAGTTCTCTCCACATGAGAGGTCACATATCGCATCTCACTACACATTGAGCACTGCCTCGACTCCTCCTCTACACACATTTTTTCTCTCCTAGCTATTGTATCTCTCCTGAAGACATTGTTTGATCAATAAAGATCCCCCCGCCATTGTTGCATTTTTTCATAGTTGAATAGGTCACTCGAACCGAACCACTATATATTTGTTTGTTGATTAAATATTTATATTACTGTCATTGGATGTTTTATTAATTGTCTCATTAATTACACTTTGTCACACACTCGACCGTTGATCTTGTATGAGACTATTTTGTGCATCATTAGTTTGACACCGTCTGTAAAAAACGCCCAAGTTTTTTGCTATCTTGCTACTTCATGGCAATCACGATCAAGTTGATGAGTCAACAACTGAGAGACAACAACCCGACCCCCCGAAGAGAAGGCTCCTCTCGCACCCACCACCATTGCCGCCATCCTACCACTACCACCCCCATTGCCCCACTACCACCATCCCCCTACCACCACTGCCGCTACCTTATTACTTCTGTCACTGTCCCACCATCACTCTTACCACCATCATCTCTATCACCCCACCACCACCGACACCATTGTCACCCAAGACTATTACTATCACAATCGGTCGTAGTCACCCATCACCGTCTTTCACCATTATTATCACTGCTCGCGCCTCACTATAATCGGTGCTTAAATTCTTCTCTCTCTTCTATCTTTGTAATTTGATATTCAGTGTAAATACAAATATGTTTATTATTGACCATTTTTTTTATTATTCTATCCTTTCAAGCACGAAAAATAACTAATAAATAAATATAAGAGAGAAATAATTTTAATATTAATCAAACTCTTAAGTGCACAAACAAGTCCTTAGGGAATCATCTTTGTACAATTGGAGTGGTTAGCCAAGCCCCCACCTTGGCTAAGGCATGGGGTGTCATTGGGCTGAGTCACCCGCAGGTCATAGCCGTGCCAACGACTAGGGGGCTAACGGATGGTTGATTATGTTGTACTGGTCTTGTTGCTGTTTTAAGGTGGTTTGAGACTTTTCTATGTGCAGTTATCAAACGCTGGGCTTAGGCCATGGTGGTCTATGGATGCCTTTTGATTTTGTCTTTACCAGCACTTTGGACTTGATCAGTTTCTACTGTGGATGGCCCTTTGTTGGTTTGGATCGAGGCAAAGACTGGAAATAGGGAGAAGAGACAAACTTATGGGTTATCAGGCTGTCCGCCACGTGGTGACCCTGGACAGCCCGATAACCCAAAGGGATAGGGTCACGGGTTTTGATTTTGGGCTCTCGCTAGGCTCGATGAATTGGTCCGAGTCGTTCGACTAAAGCCCACCAAGGCAACCCTTTTTGCTGCTTCATGCTTCCGTACCTATAAGTTGTACAGTAAGTTCGTTTGATAACCGTATTATAAAGCAATGAATTGCATTAGGCAATACACACTAATTTCATATAAATAAATAAAATATAAGATTAAATATATAATAAAAATACTACCCATGAATCTAATCTAGTTATTCATGTTTTATTTATTTTTTGGACAAAATAATAAATTTATAATTTAATACGTTTGAACTAGATTATAATTTTTACTACTTATAAATGTACACATATTGGAAAAACTTTTATTTCACTATTTTACCCTCTAACATCTCTTAAATATCAAAAATTGCATGCACCACAAAAATGTTATTCATTATACAATACCTTGAGTGACCTGTCATTACTCTTTTTTCTCCACACCATCCATTACATTTTTAATAAATTCCACAATTTTAAACTTTATCGTATAGTTACCATAACTGTTTTGAGGTATGACTATAGGAATTCTGAATCTAAAGGTTTTAAATAGTGATCCTTTCAAACATCAAGAAGATGTAAATCATCGGCCTCATAACAAAAGAAAGGACATATTGGACATAGTCCTTCAATAAAAAGGAGTAACAAAGGCTTCTGAGTGGACGGAGAAGCAGATCATCCGCCAATATCCTTTTCCTTCATGTCTAAGTTTCTCACGAAGACAGTTCTCTCTCTCTCTCTCACACACCCCTCTGCCTCTCCGTAGTTGTTAATAAGAGAAAAAGTTNTTTTTGCTGCTTCATGCTTCCGTACCTATAAGTTGTACAGTAAGTTCGTTTGATAACCGTATTATAAAGCAATGAATTGCATTAGGCAATACACACTAATTTCATATAAATAAATAAAATATAAGATTAAATATATAATAAAAATACTACCCATGAATCTAATCTAGTTATTCATGTTTTATTTATTTTTTGGACAAAATAATAAATTTATAATTTAATACGTTTGAACTAGATTATAATTTTTACTACTTATAAATGTACACATATTGGAAAAACTTTTATTTCACTATTTTACCCTCTAACATCTCTTAAATATCAAAAATTGCATGCACCACAAAAATGTTATTCATTATACAATACCTTGAGTGACCTGTCATTACTCTTTTTTCTCCACACCATCCATTACATTTTTAATAAATTCCACAATTTTAAACTTTATCGTATAGTTACCATAACTGTTTTGAGGTATGACTATAGGAATTCTGAATCTAAAGGTNAGAATTCTGAATTTAAAGGTTTTAAATAGTGATCCTTTCGAACATCAAGAAGATGTAAATCATCAGCCTCATAACAGAAGAAAGGACATATTGGACATAGTCCTTCAATAAAAAGGAGTAACAAAGGCTTCTGAGTGGACGGAGAAGCAGATCATCTGCCAATATCATTTTCCTTCATGTCTAAGTTTCTCACGAAGACAGTTCTCTCTCTCTCTCACACACACCCCTCTGCCTCTCCGTAGTTGTTAATAAGAGAAAAAGTTTCTCAGATTTTATAATATCCTCATTATTGAATTGCATAATTTCTTAAATAGTGTATTGGAGGGCAATAATAATTCTATAATGAGTAAGAGGCATTATATGCAACAAGTCATATACTTATGGTCACTTTCAAGTTTCAAGTAATCATGCCCATGGCTGATTTTATTATACTTTGTGTGATGATGTTATATGCATTTTTTTTTTGTTTTTCCAAGCACTGGCACATGTTATGAAGATTAATAAAGTTTTTGAATGCCTTTGGTCCATACTTTNAAGCACTGGCGCATGTTATGAAGATTAATAAAGTTTTTGAATGCCTTTGGTCCATACTTTTACCATTTGGCACCTGTTGTAGTAAATCAATTGCTTCAAGTTTTTGCTTATTTATGTTGTTATATATGAATCTTTCTGTTTTAGCTGTCATTTTTTCAATTTATTTGTACTAACGAAATATTTCTACTCTTCCCTTAATGATAAGAATTCAGAGACTTAGGCCTTGTCTCAAAAATAAGTCATTCATTCCGACCTATAACACGTAACTCAGAAGCATCAACTGTGGCCAATGTTTGTGATACAATTTGGCTTATTGCTAAGGTTTTGTATTTTCCGTTGTTTACTAGCTTGAACTATGTCTCATTTATTTTTCAGTTGAGTTATATATTGTTGTCACTTGTTGAATTAATACCCATGTTCAAGTGCTGAGTTTCTTACTACCGCTTAGGAACCTATGGTTGATGGTTTGCTTCAATGAACCCTTTCTTGCAGTGGGTGTATAAATTCTAAGATGAAGTGTCAAACAGTAAGGGCAATTTTATCAAAATATTAAGTGTCCAATAGTGTCGATAACTTCCGAAGGAAACATTTTTCTATTTCCTTGAACTGATTCAACTTTTTTTAGATGTCTAAAGTTTAATAAGAATAAGTACGCATCATTCTTGATGATAAATGGTTAACAATGAACTTTTGATGCTGCATAAAATATGGAGAACATATTTTGGTTAGTATCAAAAAATCATTTCAGAATTTCAATTACACCATTGTGTTACATCTTTCATCAAAGAGAGAGAGAGAGAGAGAGAGAGAGAGAGAACTCCTATAAGAATATAAATTAGAGAAAAAAATCAAGGTTCATAAAAACTTATGATAATAATTACTCAAATGGAACTTTCGATTTAGACTTCATTAGATAGGAGAAATGAAAAATGTGAGAAAGAATTAGCCAAGCAAAGTATTTTGGTTCGACCCCATATGTTTGGTTTGGACTGTTTGTCTATTACACCACTGTCCCTCGTATGGTCACACAAGGGTAATGTTTGAAAGGCAAATGCGTAAGGGTAGATGGTTTCCGCACCATTTTAATTAATGTATTTCCCGCCCACTTGATACATGATTTGATTTGTCTTATTTAAATAATTGACATTGAGCATACTTTTGCTTTTATGTTTGTACAAGATTTCGATTATTTTGCTTTATCTCTTCAAGTTGTCTCCATGAATTATTGCATTGTCTTGCTCTTGTTTTGGAAGCTAGTGAACTATTCGGTTTATCATTATTTTGGAAGCTGTATTTTCACTTATAGATAAAATTATTCCGACATTATTGGAATAGTTTGTAAAAGTGGAAGTAATTTACATAACAAAAGTTTGTAAAAGTTTCAACGCACCCATTTTTAGTTTTATTATATTAACATTTAGGTTCATCAATCTAATATTTAATTTTATCAAATTAATGTCCTTTACTTAATTTAAACTAAATTAACATTCAATCTCATCACATCAACACAAATTGATATTTAATTTTATCAAATTATTATTTAGTTATATTAATTTAATATTTTATTTCATCAAATTAATATTATTATTAAATTATTATCAAATCACCAAATCGATATTTAATTTTATTAAATTAAAATTTAATATATTAAATAGAATATTAAATTTCATTAATTTAACATTTAACCTTATCAATTTAACACCAAATGAACATTCAATTTCATTACAGCAACATTTAAATTTATTCAATGAACATTAAATTTTATCAAATCAACACGGAATTGATATTTAATTTTATCAAATTAACATCAAATTAATATTTAAATTTATCAAATTAACATCAAATTTATTCAATTAATATTAAATTTTATCAGTATTTAAACTTTATTTATGAAAGGTGATGTGTGAAGAGTGGTCAGGTGATGTTGTGGAAGACTGACGATAATAGAGGAGTTAGAAATAGATGAGATTTTGATATTGATTTTATCAATTGTAATTTTTATTATAGAAAATTATTTTTAACTATAAAAATTATAAAAAAATTGATTATGTAACCAAATGAGGGATAATATGATGACTAATATTATAACAACGTTATCATGCAACGCTTTAAAATGATAAAAATTTATTGAGATAATATAATAAAAGAAATCAAGCTTACTGGTTGGCTAGGACATATATAATGGGAAAAAGATTATGAGCACTTTAGTCCATTTACATAACAAAAAGTAATTTTAACATTTTCATAAAATATTTAGTCAAATCATTACTTTATCTACTCACAGAGACAAAAGTTACCATTAAGGGGATGTCATTGATTTGAAAGTTAACCAGAAGGGTATACAGTGAAGTTTTAGAATCGAGAGGGAGTGTCATTGAATTTAGGCTTAAGTACAAGGGATGTAGATGCAATTTTTTCTAATGGGGAAAGGGTGGAGGTCATTTTAGTCTATTTACATAACAAAGAATAATTTTGATATTTTCAAAAAATATATAGTCAATTCGTTACATTATATATTGGCAGAGTCACAAATCATTGTTAAGGGGGTGTTTTTGATTTAAAAGTATAAACCAGAAAGGGGTACAGTGAAATATCATCATCAAGAAGCAGTATCATTGAATTTAGACCTTACTAGAAAGGGTGTGGATGAAATTTTTCCTAAATTTTTTTTGATTGGGCTTGAATTTTTATATGGCCTTTTTGTAGGGCTTAAAAGGATTTATAAATTTAATTTTTTATATGGATTGTATATGACATCTAAAAATTTGGGGTCTTCTTTAAAATATGAGGTCTAAAGTCCAAGCTTTTTTGATAATACTGTTAAGCCGCCCCTAGGCAAAATACCTCCTGTAGGAAAAAATATTGGATGTGACGGTGATATCACGTCATCATTGTCACGTAATATCACCATGCAATAAAAATNATAAAATATGAGGTCTAAAGTCCAAGCTTTTTTGATAATACTGTTAAGCCGTAGGCCAAATACCTCCTGTAGGAAAAAATATTGGATGTGACGGTGATATCACGTCATCATTGTCACGTAATATCACCATGCAATAAAAATATAACAAATAAGCATGTAAATTCCACATATGACATATTCAAGTACCCACCCTACCATGTCATTTCAAGTGGAGTTTCACCTTGTACATTTATAGGTTTATTATTAGATGGTAATATCACATGTCAATAATGACATGTTGTTACTGGT